CCCGCCCTCTGCTGTGTTGCGAGCCGATCGTGCACCCGACTTGCGCTGAGGACCACCATCCTACATCCGATTCCGATTCCGATTGCTCCCTTTCTCAGCCACTGGTGTAGCATCACTCGTGACCACGTCATCCTCGAAGCCGATACGTTCTCTGCTTCTCTCGCTCTGTGTCCAATTCAACTCATCTACCTGGAGCGCTCCACACGACGGCGGAACTCGACCATCGTGAGTTGCTGCGAACCGCTCTGATTCGTAGCCGACTATCAGACGTACTCTGACATCCGACTCATTCGCCAACTGGATCACACAGAGCCTTTGCATCTTCTCCAGCATCGCCTAGCATCTCTTGCCAACCCTCGGTCAGAAGAGACAACGAGAGTGACCCAGCCAAGAATTGTCTTCGTCTCAAGCAGCAACTTGCCTTCCCTGTCGTAGAGCAGCCGAGCAAAAGCGAAGATGGGCATTCTCACACGTCAACCAGATTCCTACGTCAAAAAGAAACAGTACACGTTCGACAAGACTCTTGGCGAGGGAAGCTTTGGAGTGGTCAGGAGTGCTATTTGGAACACCGCAGAGCCGCCGATTGGGGTTGCTGTCAAGGTCATCAGCAAGAAGATTCTCAAAGGTCATGACGAGATTGTGCAAGGAGAAATGGATGTGCTCAAGGTGAGCTTGGGTGCTGACTTTGCTCAAGCGATGGCGCTGGCGACGCACTCAGCTGGAGCGCTTTGAGAGTCGATCGGCAGACTCTCTCGCTGGTCAGCTGCGGCTCATCGCTCGAGTGGAACACACGATAAATTGCTACAATGCGCGCTAACCACAGGCCCTACTGCTTGTCGCTTATCTAGGGGCTGGACCACGCGCATGTAGTCAAGTTTCTAGACTGGTTCGAGTCCAAAGACAAGTACTACTTAGTGTTCGAAGAGGCGACAGGAGGAGAGCTGTTTGAGCGCATCTTGGCAAAGGGTCGATTCACAGAGTTGGATGCTTGCAGGGTCATCAAATCCGTGCTGGGAGCAATCGAATATCTTCACAGACATCAAATCGTAAGTGGCTTCTACAGGAGCGGATGGATGCGCACGCGCATGTATGCGGACACTGACCTTCTCTCTTATCTTTAGGTTCACCGCGATATTAAGCCCGAAAATATCCTGTACAGAACAAAGGCGGAAGACGCAAACGTCGTGCTGGTTGACTTTGGTATCGCGCGACATCTGAAAGGCGAGGACGAAGTGTTGACAAATGTGTGCGGATCGTTTGGCTATGCTGCGCCTGAAATTTTGGCAAAGAAAGGGCACGGCAAGGTGGTCGACATGTGGAGTTTGGGTGTCATTACATTCACAATGTGAGTCTCACAGTGTGGTTGATGCTAATGTACGATTGTCATGAAGACGCTGATGGAGCTTCACGTGCGCTTAGGCTCTGCGGCTACACACCCTTTAGATCAGATGATCCTGCCAAGTTGGCTGCCGAGACGCAGAGGGGAAAGATCGAGTTTCGTGAGTGTCCCGTTCTCGCGCAGATCGAGGACGCCCTCTCTTCCGCCGGCTAAGCGCATCACGTTCTCTTCTCTGCGCCTGAAGACGACCGATACTGGAAAAATGTGTCGCAGGAAGCAAAAGATTTCATCAAAGGTTGCTTGACTGTCGACCCTGCAAAGCGACTTACCAGCGAGGAGGGCCTCGCACATCCTGTGAGTCTTCGACTTTGGCCCCGCAAATGCACGTAGCATTTGTTGATCGTCGATGCTACTCGCTCGTATAGTGGTTTGAAAAATTCCAGGACGCTGCCGAAGCGTCGCACGATATCAGTGCGGGCTTGCGAGAGAATTACAGGAAACGTTGGAAGGTGCGTGGCAGCTCTTTCTCGAGATGAAATGAGCAGCAAATTGACATCCTCACTTGTTGAACGTGTCGCAGACTGCCATCAGTGCAGTCCGAGCATCGACTCGGATGGCCGCAATGGGTCGAGCGGCGTCGCAATCGTCTTTAAAAGAAGGAGACATATCTAATCCCACGTCGAGCGAGCAGCCGGCCAGTGCTAGCGACTCCATTTCGCCGGAGGAAGCAAAGAGAAGAGCGGAAATGACGGACAAAGTCGCCCCGTTGACGAAAAAGGAGCTCTATTCGGACTCGAGCGACGAGCAATTGGATGATGCGAGCGATGCAAATGGGTTTGTGGACGCTAGCACTGGAGAGGAGGAGATCAGGGATAGCAAGAAGGAGACCGACAAGGATCCAGGCGGATTGGCGGGCCTTGTCAAGCGCATCCTTTGAGCTTGACATCGAGCCATTTCCTCGCTTCTGTGGCTCCCAGTCACCTTCAGCTCAAGCGCGTTGCGTGCACAATGCTAATCTCCTCTTCGATATCGCTTGCACGCGCTGCCCAACCTCCTTCTGAACAGCTCGCCCAAGCTAGTCTCGGTCTCCAGGCTTGCTTGCTGGGAGCAGCTTGAACCCCAATGCTTGCCACTCGATTCACCTCCTCTCTCTTCCTCTAGCCTGTACCGATAGCGAACCACGAATCCTCTTCTTTTGTTTTCATGTCCATTGGGTCAAATCACATGCGCACGGGACTTCTGACGGAAATCAAGAATTGCGGGGAGGAGCCTTGCGATAGTTGTCTCAAGTCTGGATGAGCTTGTTGCTGCACAAAATGCTGCGGGCCGTCCCTTCTTGCTTGACTTGCAGTCGAACTTGAATTTTGAATCAAGAATTCAATCTTGAACTACGAACCGAGGGGTCAATAATCAAGAATCATCAAGGGAAGCACGAATGTAAATGATTGCGAGCCGCAATCTTGAAAAGCGTGAAAATCAAGAATTCATGATTCACACGGAGAAAGGTCGCCGGGGTGGTGGGTCACGTGGTCGAGCCTCCACGTCGATGCTACAAGCTGTGCTGTGCTGTGCCGCGGACCGCGCACTCTGACTGCTGCAGCTCGAATCACAATGCGCCCTGCAACGGCTTGTACCGCAATCACATCTCGGAAGGCTACATCCTGCTACCTCTACATCCTCTCCCTTGTCAGGACCCTCAATCTGCCTTTTGATACTCGCGACTTTGCAAGGAAACTTTTGGCACCCGCTTCTACTCGCAGACGAGGCCGTCGAAAGTGCATGATTGGACATTCACCTCGGTCCTTGTCGCGCGAACAGCCGGCTCGATGGACATCATGAATCGTTGGACAGCGAAGAAGGCACATAGCAGCAGGATGAGGAGGTCGACGCTGCTTGGCGGTGCGCTTCTCTTGGTCTTCGCTTCAGCTCATCGACTGGGCAAACCTGGACCTGGCACATCTGGCCTTGGGCTCAATAGCAAAGTGTTTCCTGAAGATCCCTTTTCCTCGCCTGCGTACAATATCATCTTTGACCCGCTCGATCCTGTCAGAAATGCCACGCTAGTAGGACTTCTTCAAGACCAAGCAGACGGTCATACGCACGCGACGCAGAGTATAGAGCTGCTGGGAGGAGCGGATGGCCTTCACGCTTGTTTCAGCGCTGCATCTCTGGAAACAGATGTGCGCAAGAGGGCGCAGTCGAATATAGATCTCTCTTCCCTCTCACCAACAGACCTCGAATTAGCTCGATCGCGTGCTCTATCCAAAGGCATATCGTTGCTTGCGCCTCTGCGCAAGACTTGTCTCTACCACACGCTCGACTGGTTCACATACGAGTTCTGCTACGGAGCTCAAGTGAGACAGTTTCACGCGCTGCCCGGAAGCTCTCTACCTGGACGTACACCCGTGCCTGACCCGGCACAGGATAGCTACGTACTAGGCAGATCACCTTCTTCTTCTTACTATACAAATCGCTTGGATGGTAGCGCGCTTGCGCAACAGGATGATGCGGCGAGCAGTAACGCTCAAGACGAGGCTAAGAGGGAAGAAGTAGGCGAGTTGATGGAGGTGGTCTCGCTCGCAGCTGCACCTGGCCCCTCGGCTGCCAGACCGAATGCCAAAGATGCCAACGAGAAATCGCAGCATGAAGCGTCCAACTCGCTCAAAAGAGGCGAGAGGTATGTCTCGCAACTTTGGGGAGGCGGTACGTTTTGTGATCTGAACAACGAGAGGAGGAGCGTAGAGGTTCAGGTGAGTGACCTTTGCGTCTGCGCAACCCAACGTCGCCTTTCAAGTACTTGCGTCGAGGCGACGAGGCGCCATCCGTCGTCATCGCAACGTCGGATACTGATCCTCGCCACTTTTTACATCCTTCTAGTTCTACTGTTCCCGCAGACCGGGCGATCGCATCTCGCTGGTAAAGGAGACGACTACGTGCAATTAGTGAGTTTCGAGAACTTGTGCCTCAAAGTGTGATTTCTGTGCTGCTACGATAGCAATATAGAGCTTAAAATCTTCTCTCTCATCGCAGCGTCATTGTCATCGAAACACCACTGCTTTGCACGGAGCCCGCCTTCGCTCTTCAGGATGATCCAGTGCAAGAAATCAAATGCAGACCGGTCGTGTCTGATGACTGGGTGGCACCCGCCAAGCCCGTCACGCAAGCACCAGAAAGAGGCATAGACGCGTCGCAGACTCGAGATCATCAGGATCAAGCTCGACCCACCACTGCTGCAGCGTCTAAGCCCAAGTCGGTGGGCGACGTGAAGGGTAGTCAGGACATCGACGAAGAGCTAGTGTATGTTCCAGCGAATTCCAGGGGCCCTGACGATGCCGCGAGCGCGCAGAGGGAGAGAGCTGATGAGCAAGACGCGACTACTGCACGGACGGAGGAAGATGATGACGTTTCAGGATTTCACACCAGAGGGGACGGCTTTTCGTTGGGAGGCATTGCCGATGGCTTTTTGCCGGGCGAACATCTACAACAAGAACATACGGACGAATTGTTTGAGCTCGATCTGGATGATGACGGTAGTCTGGTACTTTATCCGGTCAATGAGAGGGGAGAAGCTGGAGATCCAATCGCTCAACTGACGAGAGACGCGGTGAATCCGGTGGGCGGAGCGGACCGAATGCCGGGTGCTGGTGTGGACGTGGGAGCAGGAATTGCACCTGGCGAGTGGCTCGACGAGGGCGATCTGCCAGCCATTCAGGAAAGGCTGCAGGATCATCTGGACCGAGCTGCTGCGAGGGCTGAAGAGGAGGATGCGAGGCTGGGCCAAGCAAGACCTCCGGAGGATAGGCGAAGAATCTTGCAAGATGCACTTAGAGAAGCTTTGGGAGCTCAGGGCGTCTTTCAAGAGATTAGACAAAGAAGAGCACGAGCGGCTGCTGATGCTGCTAATGCAGATGTTGCTGCGAGGAATCCCGCGCACGCCCAAGAGCAGGCAGAGCAGCAGGCACGACAAGACGCTACTGGACAACGCAACCATTTGGAGCAGGTACTGCAAGCTCAAAGAGAGAGGATTGCTCAGGTCTTTGCGGAGTTGAACGGTGATGCGAGAGCCAGAGGTCGGGCGGGAGCGCCAGGACAAGGTTCAACGGATCGACGAGCGCCGGACGAGCCAGCAAGAGGTGCTCAAGGCCGCACGGGAACACAAGACCGTCAGAACGCTCCGCCAGCGCCAGCACATGCACATGCACATGCAGACGCAAACGCAAACGCACAGGCGCAAGCGCCAGCGCCCGGTCAAGGGCAAGCCCAAGCGCGCGCAAGAGGCCAGGGATCTCTGCGCGGTCAATTGTCCGACCAGGCCATCGCTGCGGCCATCGCTGCGGCCAAACCTGGCCCGCCTGGAGGTATGCAGAGGAACGCGGAAAGCCTGGCTGAGAGAGCGGCTAGACATTATGAGAGGAAAGAGAAGGAGAAGGAGGCGCAGGAGCGAAGAGCTGGGGAGAGGGTGGAGCTGTGAGCGTAAGAAGAGCGTAATGGAATGGGTGCTTGACGATAGGTTTGATTAGACGATAGTCTGGCTCGTGATGACACAGGTCTGCCGTTGGATTGGTCTGGCGCGCGCAGCTTGAACTGGGAGACCCGCACTCGACATGAGACGATATCCCAGCGTCCTCGATGTGCCATGATCATCTTGCTGGAAGATGAGGCGCAATCGCACGAACAGACTGGAATGCGTGCGCGGATAGAGATGCAGTCATGCGAAGCTGCGCATCAAGAATTGACACCAAGTACATTGTAGCGCCTATAAGTGCCTAAAGCGCTGGGGGAAGAGAAAGTGTGCCACTAGAGAAGTCAAGTCAAAGCTCGCTCTTGCTTCCGCTGCTATGTCCTCCGTTCACCCCCGTCACACCTGAAGAAGTATTGTCCAGGCTGAACTCGCGCAGATCATCGATGGAGACGGTCTTGAGCGCCGTTTGGTGCGTTGCTGGGATGATGACACTATGCAAGTAGCATGCAACTAGGGGAATCAGCGGGACGTTTTAGGCGCGCGTGGCGAGTGTTGGGCAGATTGCATGCCTTTTGAGAGGCCTTTGGGCGAATACAAGTGGCACTTACTCACTTTGGAACACTTTCTCTCCCGACTTGTCCATCCCTGAAAGCCTTGACGCTCTCGAACCACCTACTAGCACACAGACACCACCTACAGCCATCCTTCAAGATAGGTCGAAGATCATTTCCTCTGCTAGCCGAGAATTTCAAGAAATCATCCGTGACTTGAGCGGCCAAGACGTGAGAACCTGCGTCGGCGGGCGAGGTGTTGCAGTAACCGTCTCTGTAAAAGCCGGTGAGGGGTTGGGTGGAACAGGGCTGCAAGGGTTGTCCTAGCACGTTGATCGAGGGCTCCATGTTGAAAGCTGAACCTTGCGAGATTGCACGAGAGGTCAAGGGCGAGGGTGAGGGGACTTGCTTGCGCTTAAGCAAACGTCCTAGATGTTGAACGAGGCACCGAATTTTGGGCCAACTGGTTTGGTTGCTAGGGAGTGCCAAGGGTGGAGCGCCGCGACGTGCTGGTAGCTCTAGTGTTGAAGCAACAGCGCAAATGGCAAGGTTTGGACTGGTGAATGGGAAGCAGTCAATCTACGTTCACGATTCACGATTCACGATTCACGATTCATGATTACTCGAACTGCTTGACGCTTCACTGTGACTGTGGTGAATGAACTTATACACAAAGCTGACGAGATATGGCTGACCCTGACCCTCTCAGCGCTCCGAGCAAGTGGAGGCATGCAT